GTTCAGGCACACGCCTTACTATGCCTTACTATGTCAATCACCTCGGTGTACGCCATGAGGCAGTTCAGGCACACGCCTTACTATGCCTTACTATGGCAATCACCTCGGTGTACGCCGCAAGGCAGTTCGGACATGCACCCTACTATGCCTTACTACGACAAACCAATCCACACACAACCATGACAAGCTCGGATAAGGCAATATGTAGAAAAGAAAGATCACTTAGAAAAGGGTCAATTTCATTAACATGTAAAATTTTATACAACGAGCTCAACAAAAAGAAAAAACAAAATACAAGGATTGAGCTCGCAGGCTCGGAATGCAAGGGCAATTACTTCGGGGGCTCTCCACCCCCAGGAGCTTCGGGCTGGTCAGGGGTATCAGCTTCTTCGTCACCACCCTTCTCCTCTGAGTCCGGATCCTCCGCGGCTTGACGAGCTATCTCGCTCGTGATTCGCGAGGTGGTGATGGCGCTTGTGTCGAGCTCAGGGTACGTATGCCTTATCAACCATCTGTTAAGCTTGAACCCCTTGCGGTAGGCCTCCCCCAGAATGGCATCGAACTTATCGGACTGAATATACTCAGAGACAGCCTTGACCTTCGTCTCCTCTATCGCCTGGGTAAAGATCTTGGTCTTCTCTGCGATATCCGCCTTGAGGAACTCCACCTCGTGCAGAAGAACCTTCTCCTTTTCCTTAAGGCCTTCAGCCTCTACTTTAAGGGCGTCCAGCTCGCCCCTCAGCACGCCCTTCTCGCGTGTCTGCTCCGCTCTAAGGGCCTCCATTTTGCCCCTCAGCTCGCTGTTCTCACGAGCTAGCCCGTCCTTTTCCTCTGTCAGCGCTGTGATGACGCCCCTCTGGGCCATGGCACCGCTATCCAACCGGTGGATCTGCTCACGAGCCATCCTCAGTTCGGTATGGGCAACGCGGGAAGATTCCTCGGCAATCAAAGCCTGCTTCAGGTACCTCTCGGTCTGAAGAGTAAGTGCGTGCACGACGGAGTTCGCCTGACAAAGGAGCTAGTTAGTACCAGAGAAGCACATACAAAAAAGAAAAGAAAGAGAAGAAAACTTACCACCATAGTGTGGGTGGCAGCCCGGGCTCCGAGATGAGAAGGATTGAGCATGTCAGCCCAAACCGCAATCTCCTCGGAGTAAGTGGCCCCCTTGCTCTTTCGAAGACCGCATTGAGGGAGCAAGATGCTTTGGACCCCATCTGGGCTCCCCAAGCTGGAGACAGCCGTCTCGGCTGTGTGAATAGGCTTGGCGGAGACTTCAGCTGCAACGTTAGCAGCCCCGGTGGCAACCTTGGCCTCAGTTGCTGACCTCACTACGGTCTCAGCCGAGGCCCCAGGCTCAGAAATTGGAGGAGCCCCGGGGAGCTCAGGCTCAGAAATTGGAGCCTGTGGAAGCTGGGGCTCGGGAGTGGGGGCAGGCGGCGACTCGATACGAGCTCTCTTGGCAGCCCGCTTCTTCCTCCCCTTCATGTGTTTAAAAAGCCGGTCTCCCTTGAGTTTATCTGCCTCCATAGGACCTGCAAAAGAGTTCGGCGTTAGTACTCGAGTAAAAGAAGGAAAAAAAGAGTAGGCCAAACAGCTAAGGTACTAACTACCTACCCGGGCTCAAGCCGGCCGGGAAGAGCATACCCTCTTTGATATAATCTCTGAAATCACAGCCGACCTCAGTCCACGATTGGAATGCCTCCCTGGTCTTCTTGTCGAGTATGACGCCAAGGTCTTGGATAGCCGACCTCCAGTGAGTAGGGAAGGGCCACCCCGCGGGGTTCCGGACTACGAAGTAGTCCTACTTCCAGGGCGGGACCTTGCTAGGAAGCTTGTGCATTAGCTTAAAGCCCGGGCGGGGGGACAAGTAGTAAGCCCTCCTGTGCTCGGGAAGAACACATGAAGCGCTCTTCTTGATGGTCAAGATGGAGCAGAGTATGTCCAAGTCAAGGGGGATGACATACTCATAACAAAGAGAGATGGTCCCAGCCACGTTACGGACCGAGTTCGGGTGAAGCTGGTCTATCGTAACATTGAAATGTTTCAAGACCTCCACTAAGAGTGGATGGAAGGGAAGACGCAGCCCGGCTATGAGCTGCTCTCGGAAGATCACGACCTCGTCAGGGTCGTGCTCCCATGGGAAGTTCCCCGCAGGTAAACTGTAGGTGTACTCCCCTGGCAAGTTGTATTGCTGAATGAGCTCGCGGAGCCTCTCCAAGGTCATGGTGGAGGGCCCGAACCTATCCGGCATCCGAACTCGATGAGAGGTGGATGCCTGGCGACCCGAGGCGCGGGTTACCCTGAGCCGAGGTACCCACCTCGGGCTCGTCCAAAAGGCTATTGAAAGAAGACATAATTGAAACCAAGGAAGAGCTAGGATGACTCACCAAAGAGAAGTAAGACCGAACTGGAAAGGAACTGACCCGAGCTAGAGGCTTTGGACGCGAGCTCAAGACTACAGCTGAAGATTTGTGGCAAAGGAAAATGACCAGGACCCCCACTATATAGCCACTATCCGCGGGCATCAACGGTTGAGATCAAAGCAATCTGACGGCCCTCATGAAAACCGGTTGCACGACCTTCGAGACGAAATTAGTTTAGCGCGTTTTTTGGCATCCGCGGAGTCTATAAATCGCGTGACGTCCGCGCGTAGACTGTATGCTACCCGAGCTACGCCTGGCTAAACCGAGCAGGGAACCGGTCCAACCTATGAGCTGGCAGACAAGAAGGCTTAGACCCCGAGCCAAATCCACCCGGCAGACCTCGGACTCCCCGCACTGAGGTCAGCACCCCTAGCACGGGGAGTGGGGGGGCAATTGATGTAGGGTGATTTGGCACGACCTCGTAACACGGGGACACGTGGACATGACCTGGCATGAACAGCAACTTAGCATGACAACCTGGCCGCAACCCGGCGTAACAAGCTCGACGAAGCCCGACCAAGCGACTCAGCGGGAATAACAGCTCGCTAGGAAGCGAGGCTCAGCCCGCCCCGAGCGCAAGGCCTAAGCGCGCCGATCTCCCGCAGCCCTAAGGGACCCGGACTCCCCGCGAAGGAGCCCGAGCTCCCCTTGAGCCCCAAACTCTCCTCTCCTAGGGAGCCCCGAGCTCTCCACTCTTGAGGAGGGGGCATCTCAGCTTTTGGCTAAGTGTCCTGAGGGAGAAGTACCTTGGGACTGCATCCGCAGAATCCGTACCTGCCGAATCAGAGTAGTTCGGTAGCCTGTAGGGAAGATCCGCCTGACATCCGTACCTGCCAGATCTGGTGGCAGTGCCCACATCTCTTGCCAGGCGGCGTCGTGCCTGTTGTCCTTGAAAAGCATAGCACGCCTGACGAGTCTGTACCCTGCAGCAGCAGCCCGCAATGGCGGCCTGCACCTGCCACCTCAATCCTGGCAGTAACGGCTAGGGCAGTGACGGTTACACCTGATGTGACCGACCTCCGGTATAAAAGGACTACCACCCTCGCGAAGCAAAGGTATTGAAGCTTAAGCACTTTCAGCACTCTTACTCTCTACTCTCTCTTTGAGATTCTTCTCCAGTCCTAACTTAGCCGTTGGAGTGTTCCCACCGGGATATCTCCCCGGGAACCCTTCACTTCCTCCTTCCTCACAGGTGTCGATCGTTCCAGCCGGAAGCCAGGTCACAGCCAGCTAGGAGTGCCCAGATCGTGTTCACGATGATGATGATGATGATGATTGTATTCAGGGATTTTGCATTTAAACCCATTGATTCTCGCATCACAAAAATGATTACATTTCATGAATTAGATAAAGAGACAACATGCTAATATGCTATATTACTCACACTCACAGTGCCAATACGACAGGAAGAAAGAAATCAAAACACTGGCATAAGAAATCACAATACGACTGAGAAAAATGGTTTAAGAAAAGAAAACCAAACAAACACACATAAATTTTTGTGGCTTTCCAACAAATCGCTCGCCAATAAAATATTTAGCTATAAGAAGTTGCATAGAGAGCTAAAATTTCGGGTACAACCCACTTCATATAACTATGAAAGTAAGGCCTCCACGCTCAGTACCTAATTGACAAAATAGCAGCATAAACCCAAAGGAAAAGAAGAGGAAAACAGGAAAAATAGTGGAAGGGAATAAAAAAGGAAAGGATGTGCTCAATTGAACTATCCCCATTAAATACCATACCAGATATCCAACTTAACGACAGAAAACCATATTTCCAGCAATAGCACTGTTTAATACCAAATCGTTTATATAAGGAAAGGACGAAAAAATATACGAAATAATAAATACATTAATTGTTTTCTGGTATGTTTTGGGGTTTAGAAATATTCCATTTTTAAAAGTTTAACATTTCTTACGGAGACGCACATGCCATTCTCAGAGAAGTGTAAGGAAAAGATTGGGCAAAAAAGACAGAAATAAGAAATAAGTTGGAGATACAAGCATACACAATCATGGCGATAGCGGACACAGCAAGAGCGATGTAATCACTCGGACAACCTCCTTGAAGAGCACAGCTGGCCATCTCTTTTAGATCTTTAGCTAACACTGGATGCGACCATTAAAACAATTGCTACATGCAGAGACATGAGCAGAAGACATACAGGATCTGCTTCCAACAATGGAGTCAAATCAGTCAAATAAGTCCTCACCGCCTTTTTTCTTTTCTTTTGTTTCGTCGGAAGTCCAGAACCCTATTTTTAGTTAATACATACGGGCCCAGATCGAGAATTTGACCAGAATACATTTCAATGAATCTTCTGAAATCCATCATTCTTTAATGGTTCATGTTAACAGATCCGTCATCTACTTCTACATCGTCGATCGTCCCATGAATTGTGGCCTTGTTGGAGAAATGTACGGGTAAAAGAATGACACCGTTAGCCATTGGATTTCTTAAGACGAGGAAAAGCCTATTCAATGAAGCACAGCAATGACCACGTCCACCCCTAAGGGTTAAATATTTAAATTATCTTTATGATTTTTTTTTAACGAGATACACAACCATGGGTTAGTCTTCCCAAAAATCGCACCAACAAATGAACTCTAGAGGCGTAAGCACGGGTAGATAATTGCTGACAGGAGAATTCGAGTCGAAAGCATATTTTGCCAATCCATCAGCTGCATGAGAGAAAATCACACCATAGTCCAACAACTCTACCGCTTTGAAGCATTCATCAATGATAGTTCGAAGTCTTCAAGGTAAATCAAGCGTCTTTTTGAGGCAGCAAATGACGATGAATGAGTCACCCTCAATGTAAATGGATTGATCTCTTAAGTTAAAAGCTATATTGAAAGCTTCCCAAACAGCCTACACTTCAGCAAGATTTATCGATGCCTCTCCAATAGGACAAGCTTTCAAATCCAAGACCTCCCCCAAGGGAGTTCCTGACAATACACACAAAAGCACAACACCCCTCACTATTACGGGAAGCATCAAAATTGATTTTGATGACCCCTAGTTTTAGGTTCCTCCAATAAACTGAGTTCCAAACTTTTTTATCGATCTTGTCCCTAGTTGCATTGTTACAAATCTAGTTGGTTGTAGAAAGATTGAGTTTTATCAATGATCCCGATCAGATTGATGTTTTTGTTATTAAAAATTTTCTCACTTCTATTCTTCCACAAGAACCATCGAATAATACTTGTTTTTTCTCTGCTTAACTGAGTTACATGGTTGTTAATCATGACATGTTAGACCACCAACTATTAATAGAGGCTTCATTGTCCATTTGGTTCACAATGTCCTGGCCCACTAGTCTCCAAACCTGTTTTGCAGTCATGCAATTTTTGAAAATGTGATCAATGTTCTCGTCATCTCCACAAAAGTTACATGCCTCACTTATGTTCATACCCCTCTTCCTAAGGAGGTCTTTGAACGGCAGTTTACGATTAAGGAGCAAGAACATAAAGATTCTTATCTTGGGGGGATACTGAGGCCCCAACTAGTGTTTAGGAAGCCTCTGTGCTGCACTTGCAAATTATCTTTATGATTTATCAAATGAACACAAACCTACCCTAATCTTTAAAAAATGGGAAAATTCCACTTTAGTATCCTTAACTTTGATGGTAGTGTCAAGTTGGTATCCGAACTTTCAAACGTGTCACTGTATTACCTAAATTTTCAAAAATTATCAAGTTGGTCCCTATGTTAATTGATCGTCACCAATTATTTGTTGAAAATGTCAAAACTATCCTTCAAAAGAAGACGATGTTCATTGTCTTCTACCTTGAGACTGAACTGGTTAAGGTGTTGAAACCTACATTATCGGAACCTTTATAATTGGGGTTGGAGCGGTAGTATTGGCAGTAAGTACTTTGGTAAAAGATTCAAAGAGAGGACAGTGTTACTTCTATTCATCCGAATTCCGACTTTCAAGCTCAAATAGTACCAAAGAACTAAAGACAAACTCAAAACCCTTCCATCCAACATATCCACCATGTTGGACTTACTTGTTTGGTCATCGTAAAATACAAGGCGATTAAACAAAGGGAGAATGACGGTTCAGAATTTTTAGGCCCAAAGTACAGTTGGGGTAGGTGTTAACTCGGAATTGATGCCAATTTATAGGCAGCATTGGTGTATAGAGTGGGGGGTGTTTAACATTTTGAATGTTTATAGGTCTGGAGTGGAATTCATAAATCTGCATTGGGCCTATACGTACTTTTCCGTTAAACAAATTGAGAAAGTGAATTTCACGTCCCAAAACCCTCTTTTTGTCTCTTTCGTTCTTTCCCCTTCTAATGTCCAACCACCTTTCTCCCTACACGGACTCAAAATACCACCCAAGATTTTCAAGACCGCCTCAACCTCTCTTTCACCATCTCCTCTCCTGCTTTTCTCCTCTCCGGTCATTCATTCTTCAATTAGTGAGGCTTAAGAGAGGACTAGTCCGTTTTTGCATTTACTCTGTGATTTTGTGTTTCTCTTTTATTTTTAGTACTATTTTGTTTTTTCTTAGGGGGCGATCTTTTTTTGGATTTTGAGAGAGGGGAAACTTGGTCAATGGGATTTTGGTTCCTGATGAAGCACAATCCGGTCGGTCCTATCTGTCAACGACCTTGCCTCTGACTGGAGCAACAGGTGCCTGAAACAGAGAAGAAGGCGAGGAATCTCCGGGGAGGAACTCGGTGAGATTGCTCCGAAGCTCAAGTTAGTATTTTCTCAAAGGCAAGATAAAAACCAGATAGCGCAAAGTTATCATGTACCTCCTTCTTGGGGGGGAAGAGAGCATTTTATAACCACTTCGCGCACTCACTCCCAAGCTCCTGTCAGGTCGGGTATCATTACCTCTGCACTTCTGCCAGTT